ATCCCAATGACATTTCTTTGATAAATAAAGCTTAACTAGCGTATATATTTAATGTCATTGCTGGAAGGACACAAACACCAGATTTTCTAAATTAAATATAGTTTAAATATAGTTTAAGAATAAAAGTTTTTGAGTCACTTGGGGGAAGCGGAACAAGCTGAAAATAGGGGTGTATGTGGCTGCTGATAAAGTCACCGCTGAGCCCCCCCCCCGCTCTGGTTTCTGCTTAACACGGGTGAAGGACATGTCAGTCTCACTTCTTCTCTGTCTTTTTTATCGACCACTATTCTCGTTAGAATGACCTTCCAAGTTCCAGTCAGACTATTAGTGTCAGATCCCAATCCTCACTGAAACTCATCTCATCATGAAACACCTCACATCACCTTTCTCTGCAGCACATCATGTCCTCCGTCGCTACATCCTTCTTGTCTCTGAAATGCTTTTGTGATTCTACATTACTTCTTATTCTTGGAATTTTCTCAAATTATCATTATGGTGTCATAAGTAAATTGTAAGGGTGCTGTAGCTCTTAGGCTTCCATCACCTAACATCTGCTGTTTTAAAGGGACAGTTCACCCCAAAATCAAAATTACATATTCATACAGTCATATTTATACATACTGTATCTTACCTGTAATGTTATTTATAAATCTAGAATGACATGACTGCCTTCTCTTCTCTCCATTCTCACAACAAAGTCTGTGGATTATTTTGAGCTGTCATGTCTGCCCCGCCTCCAGAGGACCGGCCACTGTCAGTATCCACAGCGGATGTGAGGAAAACCCTGATGAGACTAAATATGAGTAAAGCTGCTGGGCCGAATAACATCCCTGGTCGTGTAAGAACGTGCCAACCAGCTAACTGTTGGCATCACTGATATTTTCAACATATCACAGGAGAGTGTTCCCACCTGCTTCAAGACAGCCACCATCGTTCCATTTCAGCTCAGAATTCAAAACAACCTCATGGCATGGGATGAGTACGGCAGAGGACAGGAGGGCTCTACAGCAGGTGATTAAAACCGCCCAGAACATCATTGGCACCCATCTACTGAGCATCAGTGATATTATATTGGTGAGAAGAGGTGCCTGCTGTTCGCCCTGCTGCCGACTGGAAAGAGATACGGAAATATCAGCTGCCGAACCACCAGACTTCAAAAACAGCTTATTTCCTCTGGCTGTGAGACTGCTTAATTCATCCTCCACCCCCCGTATACAATATCATTTTTTCCTATGTAGCAAATTGGGACTACAATCTAAATTGTGCAACCATGTCACACAATGACAAATAAAACCCCTTGTAACCTTGTAACCTTGTAACCTTGTAATGCTTTTTGGGGAAAAAAACTGCTGCTGAGTTCTTCAAATGTATTTTTTGGCGCTTTCAGCACCACAAGCCGAGTGCCATATAGTTCTATGATATTCTAGAAAAGGCAGACTTATACCGCCGATATCTCCAAAAACCAAAACATCTAGAATTATCTAGAATGATAATGATGAGCACTACAGGTAAGGGGGAAATTATGTGTTTTTGATATTGGAGTGAACTGTCCCTTTAATAGAGGTGGTCTGTACATGTACTGTTTCATTAACTGTGTGTATTAAGAATCTAAATTAAATTTGTAACTCTCTACTTTCATTGTGTTTTGAGTCAACACACGTCAGGGTGATGCATATAAATTACACATTTCTATGTTGGTTGAGTTTTAACAGAGGAAAACCAGTGAGGTGAAGTCAAACACTTTGCAATGCATCTCCTCTACAACTACTGAGCACCACATTAACTTTTTTCATTCTTTCCAATTTTATGGTCTTCAACATGTCATTCTGTAAGTGAAAGTCAAAATGAAACACATCATATTTCTCATTAGGGTTGATATATGCTTTAATTTCACAGCGCCCACGCTCTGCTCGCAGAATTCTTCAAAGTTAAATTGTACTGTCTGCTTCATATTGTCATATCAAAGCGCCACGGGTGATAATAACCGCCGCGCGCTTGAAAGAATACCATTAGACGATACTTGTGATGTGGCCTCTTAAATGGGTCTGTTTGCGCAGCCGTTGGGTAAACAGTGTATTCTGTTATGGCGATGAAGGTTGTGGGCAGATTGCTGATCACTAGCGTTGGTGTGGCACACTGATAACACTTCGTCATTACAACGTGATTAGTCATTATCCATCTGTTAGCCCATCTTTGTGTTCTGTGTCAATCATCATTTCATTTTTTTTTTTACATATTATGAATCCAGTGACATCATCTTTCCTCTCTACCCCGTAATTATCATCTTCATTTGTAGAAGTTGTTTTCTTCCCGTGTACTGTGTGTCACCTAGAGTTGAGATAAGACAGACGAGTGGAAAGGTTCTCCTGGCCCTTGGCAGACGTTGTACTTATAAATAGGTTGTCTTGTTGGGCAGCACTTTGACCATGTTTACACAGAAGTGCTGGAGCTGGTTGCTCTATAGGAGTGTGAACATGAAAACAAGAGTCATTATAAACACACACTTGTAAGCACATCTTACCAGCAGCACTGATGTTCAAAAGCAGGTCATTTAATCGTATATTCTATTTCAAGGGTATACACGCTGAGAAAAAGAACAAATGTTCTGCATGCTTTCATTAAATAGTAGAGAATACTGCATTAGGTACTGCACATTGATAAAAGAGTTGATGATTCACATGTCCTACATACAGGTACTGTTTTCAATACAATTTGCTAAATGTTAAAGCAATTAATTCAACACATGAAACAACAATAACACTTTGGAGAGCAATAAATGCCGGTGGCCTTTTCAACCTGGCAGTATTTCTAAAGTGATAATTTCGTTAATTAAGCTTTAAACAACATTTCAAGGTTCATTTTTTGTTCTCCACAACAAAATGCAGTTTAATGTCCCATCTGCTACATGAGAAAATACACACACACACTCACACACACACACACACGCACACACAAAACTGTGGAGTGTGGTAGATGAATTCAAACATCTCACAGCCTGAAGAAGAACAAAAAGTAGAATTAGTAATACTATACATTTTATGTAAGTGCAAAAAAGAGTGGTTAAAGAAATATGCATGGAAATACTTGTAAAGCACCTGACTTATCAGCTTTGCCACTTGTTATAAATTCGATAAACAAACCATTGCCCCGTGTTTATTTCCCTGCTTCACTTAATTGACTTTCATTTCCCCCCCCGACTCATTCCGAGACAAATGTTCTTCCTTTTAAACAGAAGCCATTGTGCATTGATTCTTTGCTGTGAAAGCGTGTTAACAGGTCCTCCTGGAAATGTTACGCTCATCAACAGTCACCCGCAATAAATACATTCACGATCCTGCACCCATTAGCTATACACATTCAGGCGTTCAGGGAGGGCATGCAAACTCCACACAGACAGAATTCAAACCCAGAACAATCTTGCTGCGAGGCGTCAGCGTTAACCGCTGTGCCACCGTACACAAACACACTGATAGAAAGGATTTACCTTTGAGACAGTCGATGGGATGTATTTCTCATGCATACAAATGCTGTTGTATCATTTAAATGATAATTTCATTGTTCATCTAAAACATTGACGTCAGAAAGGTCAATGTAGCTCCACGTCATCATTTTTCACTTCACTCAGTCTTATTGGTTCTCTCTATGAATGGGATTTGAGTTACTGTGGATATTTCTGAAATCTGGAGGACTTCCAGATCCAGTAGCAGACTGTGCAGCAACGATGCTTATTTTTTCTCTTAAGTCTTGCCACCTTGCCTTTTGTCACATGGTTCAATCGATTTTGGGTATACCATCTGTTCCCCTTCATGTGACATCGTCTTCCACTTAAAGAGTTATATCCTTCCATTTAGGGACCTTTCCCATATGAAGATAATATATGTACAGATAACCTGATCAGCCAGATAGTTTCTCACAGTCAAAATACCATCTGTCAATCACTGAACGTAGTCAGGAGAAGAGAGAAAACATCCATGCCCGTAGCTGCCAGCGATTCTCGACTGATACTGTGACATCGGGAGAATGCAGATGTCGTGGAAGGGAAATATACCGATGGAGGAGGGATTAACTACATTCTTCCAAAAGGAATTCCCTCAATTGGGGTGATGATGACTGTGGTAGCTACTTCGAATGAGATCTGGCAACTGTGTAGGCCATAACATACAATTCACACCATTTGCAGGCTCATTAAACCCCCCGTATTTCCTGTATTACATGCATTTCTCCTGTCATTTTTCCTTTAATTTGTCATCCATCGGTGTATAATGTTCTTGGACCTTTGGTCCAGACTAAGTAGATTTCGTACTATTGGGAATTTTCTCGCTTAAGGTGCTGCGATGGCTCATCTTTAAGCTGGAGCGCGCTGGCCAGCCTTTAGAATAACAAGTAACGTGACTGAACATTTCTCTGAACTTTGTGGACATGAGGTTGTAGAGGATGGGGTTTATGGCAGAGCTCAGGTAGAAGCAGACTCCGGAGACGATGTGGACGTGCTCGAAGACCTGGAGGTGGTGCTCGGACGAGGGGTCGATGTAGCTCCACATCAAGCGGTCCGCATGGAAGGGAGCCCAGCAAAGGCCGAACACAACCACCAGCACACCTGGACAGGCCAGAAGGACAGTTTAGGTGAAAGTCAACTGGACAGATATACACACACACACACACACACACACACACACACACACACACACACACA